TGCCACGTGCTCCCGCTCTGACTGGTGGGGCAGCTCCGTGAAGACCAACATGATCTGTGCTGGGGGCGATGGCATCATCTCCAGCTGCAATGTGAGTGCAGGAAGTCGGGTGCGGCCCCTCCACAATGAAATGGGGCTGGGGGTGGGGAGAGGCTCTCGGGGGTCCTAAAATCTGCCCCCTGCCTGCCAGCAGAAGCACCGGAAACAGCTCCAGACATTCCCGTCCCTGACCTGTGTCCTTGTTGTCTCCAGAAAAGATGTTTTGAGATGTTCCTTGTAGTATCCGCCCCCTCCCCCCGCCCCCTCACTGCTGGGAAGTCCTTCCTTGGGTCTCACTGGGGTCTCTCAACACCGTCATCTCTCATATTCTCCCCTCTGTGTCGGAAGGGAGCCAAGGGGTGCATGCTCTGGGTTAGGGCCTTTCTAAGTGACTTCGGGCTTATCTGTTGAATTAATTGCACTCATGGCCCAGTGTGTCCCTTGTGGTAGCTGCCACAGAGCCTCCCTGGAGAGAGTGTCCTAACCAGAAGGAACTGCAAGGGGGTGGACCTTGTATCAGAGTGAGGGCAGAGCAAGGAGCCTCACATGTCCTGCCAATCACACTGTGCCCTTCACGCTGCCCCACGCAGACCAGCCCCCGGCAAGGTCCCTCATCATGGGTGGAAATGGCCGGTGGTGGTTGAGCGCCCGCCATTCTAACTGTGGGTTGCAGTCTCTGCTCCTTCACTTATTGCCTGTACAACCTCAGGCAAGTCACCACCTCTGGGGGCCTCAGTATTTCCTGTCAGTGAAATGGGAATACTAACACTTACCACATAGGTTTCGGTGAGGATCCGTGAGATGAGGAGTAGGAAGTGCTTGGCTCAGGTCCAGGCACCCAGAAAGAATAAAGGTTCGTTCTTGTTGGTATTATGGTGCCACCTTGAGCTGTGACCATAGGGGCTGGTCGGAGACCATGGCGACTTGTGGCGGAACAATATAAACATACTGCAAACGTGGGAACCCGGGTCTCTAGGGGCAGCCCCTCCCCCTCCCAGCACCCGCCCAAGCTGCCAGGCCCCTCCTGACAGAGCCCCGCCTTCCCCAGGGGGACTCCGGAGGACCCCTGAACTGCCAGAAGGCCGACGGCCAGTGGGAGGTGCACGGCGTGGTCAGCTTCGGGTCCTCCCTCGGCTGCAACTACTACCACAAGCCCTCTGTCTTCACCCGCGTCTCCAACTACATCGACTGGATCCATTCGGTAAGAACCAGCTGCACCTCGGGTCCCAAGGGCCTGCGCTTCCTGACCTGGTTCCATCTCGGGTTGGAGGACCCCCTCCTTCCTCCTGAGAGCCAGGCCGGAGCCCCTAGAGGAGGCCGCAGACCTGGGCAACCCCTGCGCGGCCCCCTACGGGCCCCACAATTTCTGTGTGGATGGAGTGAAAATGCACGTAGAGATTGACAACAGAGGACAGTCCTCAGGCACTAAGAGTGGGTTCCTTAGGCTTAGTGGGGTGTTCTGTGTTTGCTTATCTGTGTGTCAGCCCAGACCCCACCTTCCAATGCTATCAGCGTGTTTATCTGCAAAGGCCAAAGCCTGGTAGGATTCTGCACGGGACTGGAGGTTTCCTGGGAGGCGGGGCTTTCCATTTTAGATGGGAACAGGCCAGACGAATGGGACTCAGCTGGCCTCACTGTTATAGTGAATGCGTCCCTGAGAGCTGTCTCCTGGCAGCTCAAAACCAGGACCTCATAAGCTTCCACGCCAGCCCAATTCCTATTTTAACGAAGAACACGCATTTATAATAATGACCATAAAAATTGTTCTTTAAAAGACTGGCACCAATCTTGGAAGAAGTGGGGTTACAATCAGCAGCAGGTCTGAGCAGCCCCAAAGGGAAGAGTCATCACAAGAAAGGCAGGCCTGGCCCTGGCCGGTTTCCTCAGTGGTTAGAGCATCAGCCCTTGGACTGAAGGGTCTTGGGCTGGATTCTGGTCAAGGGCACATGCCTCCATTGCAGATTCAATCCCCAGCCCTGGTTGGTGTGAGTGCAGGAAGCAACCAATTGATGTGTCTCTCTCGCATCCATGTTTCTCAAAACAAAAACGAAAGCTGGGCCTGGGGAACGTGGGGACATGGGAGGAGGAGGCATTGTACCTAGTGATGGCTGCTGGGAGGGAGGACACTCCATGTTGATTAGGGGCACTTTTCCCCACCTCCTGGCATCACCCCCGCCTCAGTTTGCTCTTCTGTGAAATGGACTTGAACACGACCAGGACTCCTCTGTGGGTTTAGGAGCCAGAGCAAGTGGGAGCCGGGTGTTTGTGGCCAAGCCCCACAGAAGGGGAAGCTGGCATCTGATTTCATTATTTTAATTTTCAAAAACTATTCAACTGACTCAAAGTGACACTGTTATAAAACCAAATATGAAACCACAGCCATGAGCATGTGGTCACAGGGAAACGAGCCATCAGACGGGCCCGTCAAAATAAGCAGGTGGCTGCCTCCGAGTTTCCCATTCCCGCTCGCCCGCTCCTTGCTCATCCGTCTGCCGCTGGCACCGCTTTCCAACAAGTGTCACAGACACCAGAGATTCCAGGCAAGTTCGTTGGAGAGAAAAGTGTAAAATCAGGCACAGAGTGGCTATTCACTGGTAGGCTTTTGTCTTTGTGTTGTGTTGTGTTGGGTAAATTGGGGGAAAGCCACGATTCCGTTTTGGCAGAGGAAAATTGGAGTCTGGCTTTTAAAGTGTCACCAGCATTTCAAAGGAGCCTGGCCCAAGACGGGCTGGACGGAAGGATGCTTAGAGGACTTTTCCCAGACACGTCCCAGGATCCTTTCCCAGCCCCGCTGCCATGTGAGTCACCGGGCAGCTGGTCCTGGCAGCACCTTCAGGGCCCAGAGCAGAGGCCAAAGGCAACTGTCCTGAGTTTTTGTCCCAGCATCAGCTGTTCGCAGGGACAGACACAAGCACCACAGAGGAGGCCGCAGCCGAAAGCATGGCCAGATGTCAGAGGGGATCAACCGGAAAGTAAGCCTTTGCAGGCAGCGAGGCAGAGGTCCTGGGTTCACGGGACAGCAGCCAGGCAGGCACCTGTGCCTGTAACGGGTGCCAGGAGTGGCAGAACCAAGCAACCAGCTGTCCCCTGGTGGAGGCGGCCTGGCAGCTGCAGAGGCTGGTGAAACCTTGCAGCGGTCACAGCCCAGCGGCACGCCCGGTGTCACCCACAGGCGCTTGGGAGCACCAGCCCAGACAAACGCAGACGGGTGTCAAGGTCAGGAGGTTGCCCTGGAAAGGCAGGAGCAGGAAAGTGACAGGAGACAGGTGGCCGAGGGCAGTCACCTTCTCAACAAATGTTCACTGAACGACAGCAACACATGAGTCTTCAGCGTTCACCACTTTATTTTTATTTTTACTTGAGAAGGTAATACATACTCTTTACAAAAACATTAAAAGAACATAGGAGTATATCAAGTAAAAAAAATATGCCAAAAAAAGGAAGAAAAAAAATAGTACTAGTCCCCCTTGTCTCGCATCACCAATTCCACCCCCGCCCCAGAGATAATCATTGCTAACAGAGCCGTCTTCTGGACTTGGTTATGTCCACCTATACACACTGTCTTCTAACCAAAAATAGGATTTTACTCTTCATACTGTTCTGCAACTTAGTTTTTTCACTTAACACCAAACCACATCTACACGTGAGCACATATATTTATGGCATCCTTTTGAACAGCTAAATAATATCCCGTAGTGTGACTGTAATGAACGAAGCTTCCCCCTACTTCCTGGTTCCCACCCCCACACGGCCACAGGGACATCCGGGACATGCATTCTTGCACACGGGTTGAGCATCTGCTATAGCCGTCCAGCAGCATCTCCGGGTCATGGATGGCGTGTGAACACGTTTCAGAGGAAGCGGCTAAACCGCCTCGGAAAACAGGCTACAGCAGCGCTATGCAAACCGCGGTGCCTGTTAACAGGTTCAGGGCTCTCGAACCCTTTGCGAAACCCATGGAATCAAAAAGCTATCAGTTGTAGGCGTTCTCGCGCAGGTCGGTGGAAAGCTGTGATAACTAGAACTCCTCGGGCGAGCCGAGTGCTGCTCCACCCCGGCCGCCTCTGGTTGACCGAGCAGAGCAGAGGCTGGAGGAGAAAGCCGGCCACGCGCAGCTCTGCTCTGCTGGGTTAACCTGCTTGTTTTCTGACGTGTCCTGCAGGTGATGGAAAAGAACTAACCACCAGAAGTTCCCAGCACTGTTTCAAACTTGGACAGGCCCCAGAGGAAAATAATAAAGTGACAACAACATGAATCACACCTGAGTGAGAGTCTTATTAGCAAACCATCCTCACATCCAAGGCTCCAAAAGCAAGGAAGAGGCCAGATCAGGATCATTCAAAAGACCTCAGGGTTGGGGCCTTCTCTGGGGTGGCCAGCCGATCATGTCCCTGTCCCCAGTGCAGGCTCCTCTGGCCAGGAAGGCCCCTGGAGGCACAGGCTGGACTCAGAAGACCCGGGTGCGGCCAGGTCTCTCCACGGGTTAACTGGGTTCCCCTGGACAAGCCACCTGACCTCCCTGAGTCTCCTCCTGGGATGGGGTAGGGGTGGGGGTCAAATGAAATGTTTTGAAAAAAGCAAGTCTCCTTTATAAGGAAGAACAAACGGTTGAAGCAGAATGAGGGGGCAAATAGGTACAAGAGAGTCCATAGTCACCTGAGGTTTATTTTGTTAAGGATATTGCAATGCAGGAAAAATTAATAATTTTTAAGACTTCATTTAAGATTCACAGATGGCAGCTGTTCAGACCCCAGTAGTCCCAAACTCGCTGCTCTAAGAGATGCTGGTTTGTGTGTAGCTAAAACATCCCCACAGATCAGTGGTTCTCAAGTGGGGGCCCACCAGGGGACATGTGGCGATGTCTGGAGGCATTTTTGGTTGTCACTGTCCAGAGGGAGATGCGACTGGCAGTCGGGGCAAATGTCACCGCAGGCACCTCCTGGGTAGACGCCAGGGACATGTGGTGTCTGGAGGCATTTTTGGTTGTCACTGTCCAGAGGGAGATGCGACTGGCAGTCGGGGCAAATGTCACCGCAGGCACCTCCTGGGTAGACGCCAGGGATGCTGCTAAACATCCTACCATGCACAGGACAGCACCCACCCCCAGCAGAGGAGTGTCTGGCCCCAAATGGCAGAGGTGCTGAGGCTGAGAAGCCCTGCTCTACAGGAAATACAAGCATCAGACCCGGTCGCTAGCCAGGCAGCCAGCCATGAGGGGGGCGGGAGGAGCTGCACGCCATCCACGGCATTCTTCTGCTCCTCTCCCTCCATCGTCGGTCGGTCGGTGGCTTGTCTCCAACTTGGAAGCTGCTAAGAGCCTGTCTGCCACCAGCTGAGAAAGAGCAGACCTCCAACGGCTACAAAATCCTTCCACAGGGGACAGCCGGAGTTGAAGGAAAGCCCAGGCCTCTGCAGACACCGGGCGGAAAGCAGGAAGGTTAGGGGGTAAAGGGTCAGGCGGGGTCGGGGGCCCTGGCGTCATGAAGTTTTAAAGAAGAGTTTTTTCCGGAGGAAATTAAAACACCCAGGAATCTGTTTGTAAATGCCTTTCTCCGAAACAGCATTAGCGACCTGTGAAAACACGACCACGGGGAGCTCTGTGAGTTCCCTCCATCCAACCAAGAATTCCTTCCGTTTCTGGAATCCCAGAGGGGTGGGGGCATGTCTCCTAAGGAAGCACCTTTAAACGGCTCAACTGCAGCCTCCTTGGGTGGCTGGGGGTGGTTAAAGAACAAACATCTCAACCAAAAATTCAAAAAAACCTCAGAATTCAAAATTTCCAAATTCAAACCTCACCAAGTTCACCTGCCCATGGCACGTGGGGCCCTGCGCCTGGCTTTTCTTCTCCTCTCTGCTCAGCAAAGCAGAGCCAGAGGCGACGCAGAAGACAGGAGGTCCCTGCCCAGACAGCCCCCTCTCACGGCACAGACACCTGAACAGACACCCACGTGCTCTGGGACCCTCAGAGGGAGCCACTGCTCTGAGTGGGACCTCACTCAGCGAGGCTGGGCCTATCAGGACATCCTCGCTGCTCTCTCGCTGGGGCCTCACCCTAAAGAGGAGCCATGATTCTGGAGGGTCAAGAGTATAGGACCATGCAGTGGGGCAAAGGGTGCAGGGACAGCCCGTGACCTGCCTTCGGGGTGCCATGCTCTGTCCACTGAGCCAGCCCACCCCGGAGCTGAGGACGGGCTCCGTCGGGGGAGAGGGGAGCGGAAGGTGTCAGCCTGGGGACCTCGGAGAAGCCGAGGAGGATGTGGCCCTTGGCATAAGGGGCCAATGTCACCACAGGTAGTAACATCTCGCCTTAGAGAAGTGAAAGCCCTGACGCGTGGCAAGCCAAGGTGTGGCCTCGGACGGGGTTTCGCATCTTTTACCTTATGTCTGCGTGCTCCCCCCACCACCCCGCCCTCCCAGCAGCCTCCCCTCTCCTTCCCAGAGGCGGGGCTCACCCGGAGCAGGAGGCTCTGCAGGTCTTCCGAGTGAGCCCACTGCTCCAAAACGCCAACCAGGGTCTCGATGTACCAGGAGCCGTTGTTGGTATCCCTCCAGGAGACAAAACCTTGGGAAGGAGAAAGGCCGGGCGTTGTTGGAGCCACCCTGCCCCATGCATGCAGGCGGGCCCCCCCACCCCCAACTCTGACCCATTCACACATCCAGCCCACCGCTCTGCGCCCTGTCCCACTCCCCTGTCCCGCGTGCCATCTTATTTCATCCTCACCACCACCTCGTGGCGTTGGCTAGGATTCCAGCTTTCCAACAAGGACACCAAGGCTCAGAGAAGGCAAGTGACTCCTCCGAGGGACCAGAAAGGAAGGACACTAACTCCTGCCCCACCTGCCACGTGCCGGGCACTGCGCTCAGCGACGTGCCAGTCACCTCGAGAAGCCCCGTGACAAGTAGGATCATTGTCCCACTTTAAAGATGAGAAAACTGAGGCGAGGCCAGGATGCGGAGGCACACAAGCCCCAGGGCGCATTCCTCCATAAATTTTGTATCCCCGGCGCCCCGCCTGCCTGGACCCGAGGCTCAGAGAGGTGAAGTAACTTGCTCAGGACCACACAGGTGGCAGGAGGGGAACGGAGACTCGGGCCCAGGTGTTTGCTCTCACAGCTGCTACTGGGACAGATGGGGGGCCCCTGGCGGATGCACTCACCTGGGAAGGTGGAGTAAGACACGAAGATGTCACTCGGTGTGGGCAAACTAGACACGGCGTCCGGCTGGTCGTAGCGGCCGGGGTGGTCCTGGAACGGGAAGGCGTCTGGCTCCGGGTTACCGTCAAGGGCCCTGTCCTCAGGGGAAGCGGAGACCACCTCAAACCCATGGTCTTTCTGCCCTGCAGGGAGCGAAACCAGACAGCACTCGTCACGGAAACATACAGACCACAGCTCGGGCCCCATGTCGCCTGTCCCAGCCCAAGACCGCCCGTTCCCTCTGGAGCCGGGTTCTCGTGCTGGGCAAACACGTGTCGGAAACCGAAACAGAAGCTTTACTTTTGTCTACGACAAGCGTTTTACACATTCATTAAGTAAAATTTGGGGGCAGAGGGTGGAAAGATGCAGCTATAATGTAAAAAAAGCTATAAAAAGTTACAAGGTGTGCACCCAAAAGAATTCAAAGCAGGTGTCCAACGGAAAACGTGTACCCAAAGGGTCACAGCCGGACTATTCCCAACAGGCAGAGATGGGAACAGCGCCAAGTGCCCATCCACAGTGACTGGATGAAATGTGGCAGAGACGGTGGACGGAACAGTGATCAGGCTCAGAAAGAAACGGAGCCTCCGCTGGTCCCCAGCACAAGTGGGTGAACCGTGGGAGCACTCGGAGTGAGAAAAGCCGGACACTAGAGGCCTCGGAATACAACTCCATGTGCAGAGCAGGCAAATCCCCGGAGAGGACAGCAGGTTCACTGTCGCCAGGGGCTGGGAGGAGGCGGGGACGGGTACGGAGCTTCCTTTTGGGGTGATGAGAAAGTTCTGGAATCAGATGGTGGTGATGCGAATGTACTCCATGCCACTGGATTGTATACTTAATGGTTAAAATAGCAAGTTTTATGTCATTAAGAAAACAAGTCACAGTATTTCAGCCTTACAAATGGGAAGGAGCCCTACCGGTTTGGCTGAGTGGATAGAGCGTCGGCCTGCGGACTGAAGGGTCCCAGGTTCGATTCCGGTCAAGGGCATGTACCTTGGTTGCGGGCACATCCCCAGTAGGGGGTGTGCAGGAGGCAGCTGATCGATGTTTCTCTCTCATCGATGTTTCTAACTCTCTATCCCTCTCCCTTCCTCTCTATAAAAAATCAATAAAAATATATATTTTTTAAAAATGGGAAGGAAACTCTGATGCATGTTACAGCTTGGACAGGCCTTGAGGACATTCTGCAAAGTAAAACACGCCGGTCACAGAAAGAAGGCAGTTGAAAAGGCTTCAGAAAAGAGAGGTGGAGGCAGAGTGGCCCAGAGGGTCCCTGAGGGCAGGGTGTCTGGAGCAGGGGCCTGGGACCCAGCCTCCAATGTGAGACGGGAGGACAGTCCTGGTGGGAAAAATGGCCGGCGGTTTGGGTGGCTCGACCTATGGTGGGAAATAGCAAGGAGGGAGGGAGGTCACAGCTCACCCAGGAAGCTGGGGTCCCGTCTGTAGGAACAAAGATGAGACAGTGATGGTTCTGGCAACCCCATAACAGCAACTCCAACATCTGCTGACCCCACACCCCACACGGCTGAAGCTCAGAAACTTGGTAATTTGGGTTCTCACAGCTCACGGGCAGGGCCTTATATCTTCCTGCCTCTCGGCCCCCCTGCTGTGCCCCAGGGAGGCCCCCATGCCTGCAAAGGGGGCTTGAGGGTGTGGAAGCTGGACTGCAGCTTACTCAGGTCGCTGCGTCTGGTTATTTTCTTGGTTGAGATTCTAGAATCTGGGACTGACCTGAGTGGACCAGGGGAGGGGACCTGAGATGTGAACGCGGGACTGTGGCCGGGGCCGCCTGGGCAGCCGGGTGTGGGGGTCGGGGGGCACTTCAGTGGACAGTGGGGGATGACTAAGAATGGCCTGAGGAGACAGAGGTGGGCAGAGGGACTGCCCGTGAAAAGCGGAGCAGAGACAATAGGATCCGAGAGGGGACTCTGGGGAGAAATGAGTGGGTCGGACAGGGGACGCTAGCCGTGTGTATTCACGACTCATCCTCATTCTACAAATCTGATGCGAAAGCCTAGCTCTCAGGTTACGCACTGTATGCACAGCTTTGTTCTTAAGGAGCCTCAATCAGATTTCGCTCACAGATATTTTCATACGGTCCTATCTCAAATTCAGAACTCCCCGGGAGGCGGGACTAACTCCTTCCCCGTCAGCAAGAACATTCAGTGGGGAGAGGACCTGTTGGCTGAGCACCTGCAATCCACAAGCACTGCAGCATCCTGCGCCTACGCCTGCCTTCTCGGCAGGAGCTCTAACAGGAGCTCTAACAGGGCAGGCCGCTCAGCATCCACCACATGCATCGCCATGCGGTGTCACCGTGCACCATGCTGCTTACTAACCCTCCACACCAAAGTCCCCCACTTGGACACGGGTTTCCGCCCTGGTGCCCCCACTGCCTCTCCGTGAAGAGCGTTAGAGGATTTTTAAATGGTTTTACATTGTAACAACAGGGAACTCTAAAACAGCAACCAGAATCCAGGACAGACTTTCTGCTGCATGTCAACAGGACACCCCCGCCAGACACACTGAGATGGGGACATGTCTATTTCTGTTCTCAGCTGACAGGCCGCCCCCGTGTGGCCACAGCGGTCATCACAGGCTCCTGCGGGGGCTCCGCAGGGACCAGAACGCCAAAGGCAGCTGCATTCCAGCGTGGGAACCTTGGTCTTCCCAGCGAGTTGTTTGGGTTTGTTTTTTCATGGCGGGAGTCTACATTATTTCAGATTTCACTCGCAGATATTTTTATATGCTTCGATTTCAAATTCAAACAATTAGAATCTACATAAGATGCAACCAAACTGTGAGCTTTGTGCCAGACGAGGACCCGGCTGTAAGGCAGACAGGCCTGTCCCTGCCCTGGGAGAGCTGACCAGGGCATGAGGCTGTCTCAACACAAGAAGGTGCTGTGAGCCCTGACCGGTTTGGCTCAGTGGATAGAGCGTCGGCCTACGGACTGGGACTGAAGGGTCCCAGGTTCGATTCCAGTCAAGGGCATGTACCTTGGTTTCGGGCACATCCCCGGTGGGGGGTGTGCCGGAGGCAGCTAATCGATGTTTCTCTCTCATCGATGTTTCTAACTCTCTGTCCCTCTCCCTTCCTCTCTGTGAAAAATCAATAAAATATATTTTTAAAAAGAAAAGAAAAAGAAGGTGCTATGACAGGGAAGGACAGGAGCGGCCGGAGCACAAGAGCCAGCTAACCCTGAGGTTGGAGAAAGCAGGTGTTTAGGGAAGACTTCCTGGAGGCGGTGACAGTTAAGTTTTAACCAGAAGGATGGATGGTCAAGAGTTGGCCAGGAGACAAGGCAGAGGATGGCACAAGGAAAGGCAGAGGAGCAGGCCAGAGCCTGTGGCAGCCCGGGAAGGTTGAGCAGCGCTGGGCAGGCACAGCATGCTGGGTTTGGGGAAGCAAAGGGGCTGGGGCCAGATCACCAAGGGCCTTGTGGGCCCCACTAAGGAGTCCAAAGACATGGCAAAGATCCTCCGTGCTACTGAGAATGGGTATTGGGGCGGGCACGGAGCTGGAAGACGGGCTAACTAACTTTCCCAGAAAGCTGGCCTCCCTTTCTTGGGGGTAGTGGGAAGGAGATCTGGTTGAGGGAGCTCAGGAGAATGACAACAAGGAAAGTGAAGGAGTTTTTTCTTTTTCTTTTGTTTTTAATCCTCCCTCGAGGACATGTTCAGAGAAAGGAGAAAGGAGAAGGGAGAGATAGAGAAACATCAATGTGAGAGAGAAACATCGATCGGTTGCCTCCCGTGCATGCCCCGACCAGGGATTGAATCCGAAACCTAGGTACATGCCTTGACTGGGAGTCAAACCCACAACCTTCCAGTGTACAGGATGACACTCCAACCCACTGAGCCACACCGGCCAGGGCTGAAGGAGTTGTTCTTTCTCCTCCACTTCGTTTATTTTTGTCAAGTCTCTGGCGTTGAAGGTGCCAACGCTGCAGGAACCTCTGCGTTGAGACCTCGAAAGGCTGGACAGAGCTGACACCTACTCTAGCCAGATGTAGGTGCTGCCGCTCGAACAACAGCGACCATGTCTGGGCCCTCTGCCTGCCTGGAGAGACCCCTTGGATATCGTGGGGGGCTGGATGGAGCAGGAGGCAGGCGGCGGCTCCTAACCCACCCGCTTCTCCCGCAGGGCGGCTGAGGACCTGCTTACCTCCCCCGCAGGCCTGGATGAAAAACAGCTTGGGCTTCCCTCCCAGGCTGGGGCAGCCGGTCCCGTTGAAGATGTTCACGATTCTCTCCACAGGCACAGGACACCCATCTGTGCCATAAACAGCCCCCGGGAACTGGAGGTGGCTGGCCTAGAAGACCAAGAACCCTGGTTACAAAACCAGGAAGCCGGGGAGGACTCCAACAGCCTGCCCGGGAAGCTGAGGCCCCTACCTGGCAGCCGTGAGACAGGATGACCACCACGCAGCAGTCCAGGGCCCTGTGGTCCCGCCGCGCCAGCTCCATCAGAGCCTGGACCATTTCCTGCAGAGAGAAGGGTGCAGGTGAGCCTGGCGGATCGGGTCCCCATCCTGGGCACCTGGGCAGAGCGCCTTCCCTGCTCCCAGGGCCAACATGGGAGTAATGACACTCGTAGCAGTCACAGCAGCCACCATTCTTGGGGCAAAGGTGCTGTGCTGGGCACTGTTCACTTAATCCTCACAGCGACCCTAGGAGGCGAATCCTGTTCTCTCTGTCTAGACAATGAAACGGAGGCTTGGGAGTCACCTGCAAGGACCAGGAGGGCCAGTCCTCCACCCAGGGCTCTCTGAGTCTGAAGCTTAAATTGGAAACCACTGGGCAACACTGCCTCTCATGGTCCTACAGACCTAAGGGCTAGTCCTGGGGAGTCCCCTGCATGCAAGGTCCCTCGCAGGGAGTCCGCCCCGCCTCGCCCGCCTCTCTGCAAGGACAAGGCCTCACCTTGGCAGTCAGGTCGCTCTCCACCTCCACCGCGAAGTGCAGCAAGCGGAAGCATCTTTGCAGCTTCTCGCAGTCCACGTGGGAGCCCTTGCGGGTGCTGAGCCCCGACTTAAGGCAGAAGTTCACGTTGTTGATAATGAGGCAGTGGCCACAAGGGTCCGCGTTCAGGGCGTACGCCTGCCAAGCACAGGGACCAACGTAAACCGGGGTCTCACTGCTCTCACCAGGCGGGAAGGCGGGAAGGCGGGAAGGCGGCCCCTGGGTTTCACTCGGGTGGCGGGCAATCGGGAGCAGTGAGACAGGAAAGGGGTCTGCCCTTCCTCTGAAGGAACAGCGAGGTCTACGCCCAGCATCGCAGGGCTCGGCAAATAGACTGCAAAGCAGACCGAGGGGAGCACTAGGTGTGATGTTCAAATCGCTCAAAGTGGGGAGATCAGTTCCCACGACCGTGCTCAGGGGTGGGAGCTGCTAGCTTAGAAATCCAACACCACAGGCATGCACCCCCAAAGGACCTTACAGACCGCCCAGTCCAGGGGAGCACTGAGAATCATGTGGGTGGGCAGGCTCATGCCCAGGCCCGCCTCGGAGCATTGATACCACTTCCTCCCCAGGCTCAGCATTTCCCTTGTAATCCTCTCTCCCATCAGCCTGTTCATTTTGTCTGTGGTATGTAGCACTCTTTATACTCATATATTTCTTCCTAGAAACATATAAAGTATCCCAGCACAGAGGCCAGAGCAGTCACACAATAAACGCTGTGAGTGAGCGAGTGAGTGACTCGGCCTGGGGTGGTGCCACAGCCAATTCTGACCCCCTGACGTCACAGATGAGGAAAGGGCAGGGTGGGCCAACCTGCTCCAGAAAGAGCTGAGCCAGAGTCAGGAAGCTGTAGGGGCCTGGGACGGGGACCCTCTCTCCAGCTGGGCTGGGTCCCCTGAGCTCCTGACACAGCTGCAGGGAAGGGCCTGGGGAGTAAGGAGCAAGAGGGCCCAAAGCCAACGCAACTGGCCCCAAATCATATGAATGCTCACCAAATCAGCGCTTCCCCTCCGTCGCCCGTGAGCACCTGGAGAGAGAGACAAAGAGGGAAAACATGAATGTCAGGGTCCAACAGGGGAGGGGCAAGGGACTCTGGAGCTGAAGAACACAATGAATAAAATAAAATAAATGCAACAGAGAACATCAATCTCAGACTTGGTCAAATAGAAGAAAGAATCTGTGATGCAGAAGACGAGTCATTTGAAAGTACCCATTCAGAAAAGAATACATGCTTTTCAGAGGAGGGGTTCCCAAAATTAAATCTTCTGTAGACTTGCCAGAATATTCCACCTATCTCATATGAGTATTCAGAAAGGCAAAACCAAAATTAAATTCGGAACTTCAGCCTGCCCGGCTGGACCAATGGTCACGCCCACCTCTCTCAGTACTCACGGATATCACTGTATCCTCCAGCACCAATGTCCACTGGCCGGGGCACCCCTGGTCTGGGAACCTCTGGATAGAGCTCCTCTGGCCCCAACGCCACTGGAGTGAGTCTGCCTGGGGTCAGCTTCGACGGATCCTGCTTCACTACTCTTAGCTCCTCTGGTCTGACCACCACAGGCCTGAGGTCCAGGGGTCTGATGGCTTCCGGATTCCGCCTTGCTGCTTGGCTACTCGCTCTCAGCAGTGAAGCCAGGCTCTGCTGGCCTGTGTCCTCCAAGCAGGAGATGAACAGAGGAAGGGCCTGACTCCCTCGAGTCTCCAGATCTATGACCAGCTGCCTGGCCTGATCGCGCCGAGACCCAGAGCCGGCCCTCTGTTTGGAAAGAAACACATGGCGCTATTTATTACCCACACACTTTCCTGTGACTCTCACCCTGTCCCCCTATTTCCCAGATAGCATAAATCTATAAACAATCAGCCATATGGGCAAAAACTGAGCCTGCCTTTGCTTATCTATTCATTCAGTATTTTGGAGGCATCTAGTATGTGCCCAGGGCTGTGCCAAGTACTGAAAATACAGCAGGGAACAATCTCGGTCCTCAAGGAGCAAACATCGTGTGGGGACTGCACACAGATAAATCAATAATGACACAGCGAAGAGAGAGGTGCCCCCGGGGAAGCACAAGGGACTGGGAGAGTACAGGGGCATCCAACTCAGTCCTCAATGGTCAGAAAGACTCCCAGCAGGGGACCTTAGCTGAGGCCCTAGAGCAGTGGTCGCCAACCTTTCGGACCTCGCGGACCACCCGGACCACTGGTTGGCGACTGCTGCCCTAGAGAATATTAGGATGTGAATAGCAAGATGTAATGATGGAAGCAGAGGCTGGAGGGATGTGGCCACAAGCCAAGGAATGCTGGCAGCCTCTCAAAGGAATGGATTCTCCCCTGAGCCTCCAGAAGGAAGCAGCCCTGCTGACACCTTTATTTTAACCACTTAGGACTCACTTTGGATCCTTGACCGCCAGAAAGGCAAGAAAATAAATATGTGTTGCCTTAACAAAAAGAAAAAAAATAAGGAAGTGTGAAATAGGAAATGTAAGTTGGGATGGGGAACAGTAGTGAGGGATGAGGCATTTGTGTGGTCATGTCAAGGAAGCTGTGAGAAGCCACAAGAGTTTTAAGAAGGGAGTGACAGAATCAGATCTGCCTTTTAGAAAATTCCTCCTGGAGGCAGGGAGGACAGTGAAGGGAGTGAGCCACAGCCAGGTCGGGTGGTGGCAAAGATGGAAGAGAGAAGTGAGAGGGCAGACCACAGAAATAAGGAAGGAGAATGGACAGGATCTGGCCATTGATTGGGTGGACGGTGAAGATGGAGAAATGGTTAAGGTTGACAGGTGTGGGGATGGAGAGGCAGGTCACTGAGACAGGGAGTGGGGTGGGAGCAAGAAGATACTGGTTATCTGCTGGTTGTCCTCTGAGACCCAGCACTGGGCAAGTTCCTCTGGATCCACAGGAATAAGACACGGCCCTATCCTAATGAACTTACACAAGTTCCTTCAGCAGCACTGCCCACGGGAACCTTTTGAGATGATGGAAATGTTCTTTGTCTGTGCTGTCCAATACGGCAGCTAAACAAGTGCTTTTAAAGAGAACCTCCAATGTTCAACTTTATTATTCCCTCCACTACCTGCATAAGGCCGTTCATCTCCAAAACCCCTTACAAAACATAAACTTAACACATGAGGGGCTGGCCAAGGAGGACAGGGCACAGCCAACTACAACACGTGAGCCCCTATTCTGTGGCTGGCACTCTGTCTCACACCCGTTATCTCATTTAGCCCGCAGGGCAGTACTAATGTTGTCCCCATATCACAGCCCAGGAAACTGGCTCAAAGAGGGTGACCTGCCCAGGGACAGGGTGCCAGGCAGTCTGTCCCCCAAGTGGATGCTGCGGACCTCCATGCTAGAGGAGGGGAAACAAACATGCCTCCTGCTGGCCAAAGCACAGCGCTGCAGCAGCAACAGTGCCCGCTGATGTGCAGGCGCGGGATGGCTTGACCAGCCCTCAGAGAAGCGTCTGGCAATGAATGCAGTGGGCTCGCTGCCGGGAAGAAAAACGAGGTTCCCCACAACGGTACTGGTTGGCACGGAGGGGGGATCTCGGCCATTAAGTTACGTTGTAGCTCCAGCAACCCTCTCCGCGCGGCCTCGCCGTCCCCGTCCGTGACTGAAGTCTGCGCCCGGCAAGG